TGTGTGTGTGTGTGTGTGTGTGCGTGTATGTATGTGTATGTCTGGATATATGTATGCATGTATGTATGTGTGTATGTCTGTATGTATGAATGTATTTATGTATGTCTGTATGAATGTATGTACATGTGTGTGTATGTTTGTATGTTTGAATGTATATATGCATGTTTGTATACATAGAATATACATACTTACATATTCGTTTGCATATACATATGTATATATGTGCGCGTATGTGGGTATATATATATGTATGTTTGTATGTACGTATGTTTTTATTTATGTACGTATGTATGCATGAATGTATTGATGTATGATGTCTGCAAGTGTGTATGTTATATGTATGTAAATATGTATGTGCGCTTTATGTGTGTATGTGGGTACGGAAGTTTGTATTAACGTGTTATATATGTGTGAGTGTATGTGTGTATAATTATGTTTGAATGCATGTATATGTATATACAAAAATTTACGTGTGTTTGTATGCATGTGTGTATGCAAGTAATTTTACTAGTTCCCTTCTACTCGATTCTCATAAATTCAAGTTAGGCATGAGCACAAGAGTGCTTCACTACAGTGGAGGAGGCGGCGTCTTCAGCATAGGAGGAAGCGGCTGCACCTTGAGCAAAGGAGGAAGCGGCAGCACCTTGAGCAAAGGAGGAAGCGGCACCCTTCAAGATGCCCGCCCCGTGTTTAAATTGGAGGAGACGGCGAACGCAACTATTAAAGAGGCGCTGGCCAGAATAATGGAGGATACGGATTCAGCAATGGAGCAGGCTGTGATTATGGTTTTGGCGAAGGAGGCGGCATCAATTTTAAATGTGATCATTGAAAAAACAGCTATGTATTATCAACATAACAATGTCTTATCATATTTAAAATAAATGTAATAATAATTACAGTCGTATGCTTTTGTTCCAACATAAATATGTATGTTTAAAATCTGCCCGCTTTTTGGCAACAGTCGCATGTGTACATTTTTGTATGTATTTTTATAAGAATGTGCGTAGTTGAGCCGAGCTGAAATTTGATTTACTTATATATATTGCTCTGCTACGCGATTCGCACTAATTCAAGTAAGACTTTTTTAATAAGCAATCTGAATTTATCTAATAAACATTATCTCTGCTTTTCTGCTCTTTCAGTGATGGAATTTCGTATCCCGCCTACTGATAGAGGACGATAAAATAACAGTGATTGTGAATTTACAGGTGAGTACATAATGACAAATATATATTTATTTATATTTATATGTTTATATTCACATATAAAGTTGTTGTTAACACTTATATTTGTGTATTTTTAAGGCATAAGATAATGGCATCAATTAGAGATCAAATATATCTATTAATATTTATGTATAGGAAAAAGTTAAGTGCCATTTTTTTTATAAGGGCTGCAAGCCCAATTTATTTATCAGGTTCACGGATCGTGAAACATTGGTCAGTCAAATGATTTCATGTTTGATTTAATATGAAAATAATATTTTTAATTTTCAATTGCGCTTTATACTGAAAATATTGCATGCCGTTTTTATACCCTGAACCCATTAAAATGGGTATAAGGGTATATTGTATTTGTGCGAAATCCAAATGTATGTAACAGGCAGAAGGGAGCATCTCCGACCCCATAATGTATATATATTCTTGATCAGCATCAATAGCCGAGTCGATCTAGCCATGTCCGTCTCTCTGTCCGTCCGTCCGTCCGTATGTATGAACGCAAGGATCTCAGAACATATAAGATCTAGAGACTTGAAATTTTAGATGTAGGTGCTCCCAGTTCCCGCGTAGATCGAGTTTATTTCCGATAATCGATAACTTACTCCGTTTCCAAGCAATCGATATCGATATCCTGTTTTTTAGGCAATTTTGGTAAATAATAAGAGCTAGAGTCACCAAACTTGACATATAGCTTCTAAAATAGAATATATATGCATTTGATGTTGGAAGAAGAGGGTTCAGAGTATCCCCTAGTCGGGAGCTCCCGACTGTTTCATATTCAAGATGCTGGCTAAATTTTAACGGCAGCTACCAATTATGGACGGTTAAATGTAATTGGGATCAAAATTTTGTATGCTTTGATTATTTGGCTTAAGTATCGGGAAGGTGCTTGTAGGCAAATAAGTTAGAGTTTCAGGCCAGAACCGGCTTAAATCGATTTGTAGCCTTGCTTTTTGCACAAACGAATCAAACTCTTTTATGTGTTCATCATCTGAATCGACTTTAAGCTCCACTGTGTCGAATAAAGGCATTTAATTTCAAATGTGACTGCGAGTAGCTAATGCTTATTTAAGCACAATTATGGCAAAATAGAGCGTGTATCGTTATTCGCTCATTAAGCATTATTAAATTTGCCCCTTTGACGGGGCTCTATGTTATGATTTACGTGCATGGAGAAGCGCCTTAGAGGCACCGCCTTCTGGCTGGCGGCCTTCTTATCTGTCGTATTCCCAAGCACCTAAAAATAGACACAAATTGTAACGCACTTGAAGTGCACTTTGAAACATCTTGACGCTCAAATAAAAGAACAACAAAAATACAAACAAAAAGAAGAAAATATAAAAAAAATGCGGCACGACAGGCATGTGATAATATGTGTATATATAAGACGCCAAGCGGCGACCCGACTGGACTAGTAAAAGGATCGGGAACGGGCACGGGTACGGGTACGGGTACGGGTACGTGAGCAGGAACGCGCATATGAGCAGGCAAATGCAATGCGACTGGCAATGGAACATTCATGTGAATGTGGAGTTCAAGTGCATGGCATGACACAGACACGCAGCCCAGAGGAAGGTTCTGTCTTTGTCTATTTCTATCTTTCCCGCTCGCGCTCACTCTTTTTGTGGCAGTGTGTGAGTGCGCCTGTCGCAAAGTGTTTTTTCCCAGGCGCTATTTATAAAGTTGTATAAATATATATTTTGTATGATATATTATAAAAACGGATTTCAATAAGTATAAATAAAATAACAAAATATTAATAAAAAGACGTTAAATATTTTTTTTATTATTTTAAAGAAGTAGAGTAATGCATACAAAAATTTTTAATAATTTTGAAATCAAATCAATCGCATATGAGTAGAGCCGACTGTGCAATACTCTGTTCTGTAGTCAACATTTGCTAGGAAGCGATATATTTATTTTTGATTTTGATTGATTAATTGTTATTTAAAAACTTGCGTATTTAGCTCAATCCATGAATTTGTTTGTCAAATGCAAAACGTTATTTGAAATCAAAATCATGTAAGCATTGGAGCTTTTAGGGCAGACGCAAGTAGATGCAACGCAACTACAAGATTCGTTTTATCTACAGTTATGAAAGCCCAATTTAAGCGTAAAGTCAGTGTTCTTTTTGTGTTGATACGTGCATTCGAGAAAAGGCGGGCTCAGCAGCACAAGTCGACACTTGGAATGGGCGCCAAACATGCGAACATGCGGCCGGGAACAGGGAACGGGGCTGAGGGCGTAGTTGCATGCGCTGACAATGCCACGAAAGTGTTGTGTGTAGGCACACACCGTGTATGCGTATGCGTATGCGTGAGTGTGTGTATGCAGTGTGTTATTATTAGCTATCTCGGGCTCGCCACATGTGTTGTTGCTAAAGGCATTGTAATGAGAAGAAAATAGTACTCCACTTGAGCAATGGCTCATATGGCAAGTTGAAGTTTGGCGCGCAATGTGCCACACGCACACACACAAGCACACGAACATGCACACATATGAGCCCTGAGTGAGTTATGGTTTATTTTTATTTGTAATTCTTTTTTTGGTATGCATTTTCCAAAAAACCAGCAACCGTTCTCACACCCGCTGTTGCTCTTATTCGGATATTCATTCTCTGCCGCTCTCTCGGGGAGCAGCAGTTGCAGCTCATATAAGAAGCTGAATATGGCAACAATTTTGGACAGTCTGTGCCAGCAGCTCGGCGCGCGAGTACAATAAACCAAAGATATATACCAGCAATAGATACCATGGGTGTCATTTACAAAATACTAAAACAGCAACGCCAGCAGCAGCAGCAGCAGCAACAGCAGCAGCAGCATCAGCATCAGCGGCACCAGCAGATCATCAAAGTGGAGCTGAACACGGCCACCAAGTGCAAGGTGCAAGCAGCCATCAAGCAGCGCCAACTGCAGCGGCTTGAGGAGCAGCGGCAGGAGCAGCGCGTGCAGCAGGAGCACGATGATGCACTTGCCGAGCAGCAGCTGCAGCAGCTCTGCCGTTTTCTCGCCGAGAATGCGGCACGCAAAAAGGTACGACTGCGGCTGCTCTATAAGCCAGAGGGAGCTATTAGTTAATCGAAAATTTGTTTGTTACGTTCAGCGTCAGTGCCTAAAGCTGCAGTATGATTATAATCAGGGCGCGTATGCGGAGCAGCCTGCAACACACTCGCCGGCAACGACTCACGACATGGATCTGCTCATGGAGCAGCTGAGCACGTGCAGCGAAGACGCGGGCAAAGCAACGGCGACGGCGACAGCGACGGCAACAGCGAAGGTACCGTCGGATGAGCCACGAGTTAGCATCTTGTTGAAGATTCGCCATCAGATCTTTGAGCGCAAGCGACAACGGCAGCGCCAACTGGCGGAGCTGGTGAAGCAGCGTTTGGTGGTTTGGCGACCATGGTAATCGGCCAACTAAAGATTGCCCACAGTTATTTGTAGGCAATGCTCACTGTATATTCCTCTGCCGTGTGATGTTCACGTTGCTCTTCCATTTTCTAATCACAAATTACTTTTATTCATTTTTTTTTTAAATTTTTTTGCTTAGATAATAAATTTTTTTACTGGAAACAAAAAACGATTGATTTGCTTATGCATATTGCAGATATGAAAAATGCATGCGAATAAAAGAGAAATATTTTTGAAGAATTGAATTAATTTATTAATCCTTTGCTTTGACGGCATCGGGTTTGTAAAATTTTAGTTTGACATTTATATGGAATTTGAAATGTAATATTTGCTTATTTATGTTTATTTTTTTTTTTAGCATCTTCTTGAATTTTTAATGTATTTAATATTGAACATTGACACCAATTTAAACTGTTTAATTCATATGTAAATGGTTTATATGGTTGGTAAATGTTTATGAACTGTGTATTAGGCCTCAGGACGCAGCTCTCGCTGTCGCGCCTTCAGCATTTCTCTTGTGTATGTGGTTATTTAAATCTTTATTTAATATATTTGGAATTTGGTTTCCATGCGTAATTATGCGTTTGCTTTCAAATGGCTGCATTCGTATTTTAAGTATTCACTTCGGTGCCTGCCTTGCATTGGGTTTCAATGTGTTTAAACTCATTTTGAGCCGCAGCTTACACATATATATGTATATATATATAGATATTTTTATTAATTTTTAAATGTATATCTGTATAGTAATATATCTTCTTTCGTTTTTTGCTATTGAGCTGCGCTCGCCAAAAAAAAAAAATTCGAATGCATAGTTTGCATTTAATTCTTCGCATTGATATCTCATCTATGCTGCTTCCTAGTCGGAATTTTATCTGACTTCCCAATAAATACTGTTGTTAAGCATATTGTAGATATATATGTATATACGGTTTCTTGTATAGTAGGTTCTGTTTTAGTTACTTGTACGTAGACAACATTTTGCACAGTTATTTTCTAGGTACACACATTTATCTTGAAGTTTTCTACGAGTGCTGCAAGTGTTGGGGATTTCTAGCGTACATATGGTATACCTTCATTAGTGAACTAATTAAAATTGTTGGTAAATCAAGTCTTACTAGAGATGGTCTAGAACAGGATAGCTATAAAGGATTCTTGTCGCGAATCGTCTGATCGCCTGATTAGACCTCCTCAGAATTAGTATGTAAATGCACTCAATGTGTTCGATTTCTATCAACTAGACATAAATATAACTTAATGTAATAGCATACAAATATTAAAATTAGTTTAACAATATATTATTTTGCAACAGTTTCGTCTGACGAAAGTTTTCAGTGTGCCACAAAAAATCGAAATCAGGAAATCCACTTGCACGCACTTAAATACTACAATCAATAGATACATATACGTATATATAAATATATTGTGTTTACTTGTGTTTGTAGTATATATAAATACACCAGTTTACATAAATATCATCGATAAATCGTTCTATATTGATCAATTCTGTCTGTTCTGTTGTCATTGAAATGCATCTAAAACTAGACTATTCGTACATCTATATGGCCACATAGAAGTACATACACACACATATCGTCTATATTGTGTTTCATTATGGGGGGTATTTCTTTATATCGATTTGAAACTGTGACACACAAAAATATGTAATATTATTTAAGTATTTGTTTATGTTTATGTATTGAAATACTATGACGACCATTTAAATGCATATTGATACTTTATCGTTCGCTGCCTTTATTTTTATAGCTAAGCTCTTGCTCATGCTCTAAAAACTAAAGGGTCGCGAGCTCTATCATAATAACGCTCAGCTATTCTGTTCGCCTCGCAAGAACTGACTTCCGTATGTTTATTTTTATTTTTGCTCATGCTACTGCTTTAAGCTCTCTTCAGTTCTTCAGTTTATTCACCTTAACTCCAAAATTGTGGGTCTACTAATAGATCTTGCCATAACTGGCCAAGGCCGGAAAGCCTCAGCTCAGTTGGCGATCAATTACTAAATTCTTTTGCTTGCAATTTTATAACCTGTAATGAATATTCAATCTAAACATATATAAGATATATGCTATAGATATATGTATGTAGTATGCATATTTGGTATATTTGCTTCAGTTTTCTAAAATGTTTTTTTCTAGCATAAACCTTGAACAACACCAATAATATTCGTATATAAGTAATAAATGCATGAATGCACATTAATATAGATAAGAGCCCCATCCTAAAATTGAAAAAAAAAAAAAACTAAGATCATAAGATATATTAAAATGGTCGAGTTGACTTGGGGCAATTACAAGCATAATTATTCCGCTGTCATCTGATCGATCAGATATATATCGTATACTGCAGTAAGGGGCTCTGAACACATCTCCTCATTAGCTCAATGTGGGTTTGTAGAAGTGTAGCTAGGTTTACGTATGTGGCAAATGTTGGGGGTATTCCGGCATTTAGAGTTACATATATATGGCGAAAAGCACCGGAACTTATGTTCAATTCGAGCACATTTAGCATTCATAAAGGCAGTTCGGGATGGGGATCGATTTAGTTTGACTTGGAGATGGACGTAGGCATGGCTGTGGGCATGGTTGTGGGCATGGATGTGGGCGTAGGCGTGGCGACAGGCGTAGGAGGAGGCGTTAGCCTGGACTATATGCTGCTCGAACGTCCAATGCCAGATGTGGTGGTGATGTGATGATTACGCAAAGTCACCTTATCGAATCGTACCATTGGAACGCCCTTTATGGTCTGTGTCTGTGTGAAGGGGCGGGCAAACTGGATTACAAACAGCAGCAGTGGCCGTAGCTGGCGGACTAGCACTCACCTCATCCACCTGGTGGCACAGCTTGCTCTTCAGCCACGGCCACTTGATGGTGCGCATCAAAGTGTTGCGAAAGTCCTCACTGAACAGACAGTAAATATAGAACGTTATCGAATAGTTGATCAACTCCAGCAGGTTGGCCAGCGCCCGAAACACCTGAAACGGAAAGCTGGGCAACACTTCCGATGCAATTGTCATATGTAGTATGGCCATGGGCGAGACGCAGAGTAGGAACAGAATCGATGTGCTGCCAAGCAACAGAAATAGACGTCGCTCTTCGGCAAACTTACGAGGATCGTCGTCCTTCACATAGTTCGCCCTGGTGAGGACCATTTGGCGGCGACGCTCGCAAGTGCGACGATAAACCAACATGATTCGCAAATTGAGGCCCGCTATCAAAACCGTCGGTATCAGCTTGAATATCACCTCCAGCATTATCTTGTACACCGAGTAGAAGATGGTGCGCTGATAGATGTTGTTGTCCCGCCGTAAGTACACGTAAACGTTGTTCGATGTCAGCATACATTTGATCAGTTCGCCTCGGAAGATGCTCGGCAAGTAGATGATGAATGTTGCGAAACAGGTGAGAAACACAACCACGCTGTGGCAAACAGTCAAAGTTAAACGGAGCTGTTAGTTAGCAATTTCATCTTCAATACTCACCCTGGTGGACCCATCACGGGTCGAGTAAATCCCGGATGACAGACGGACACATACCGCTCGATGGTCAGCACCAATAGCATCATCACACCAACGCCTGGAAGGATTGGTAAGAGTTGCGCATGTATTTGTTTTGCTTATATATCTGTATACTCTGTTCACATATTGAGAGAGGTACAATATTGGTCGTGTGTAATTTTGTTTTTTTGCTGTTCGTCTGGGTGCAGATAATTCGATGCCTACAAAATCAGTTCATGTATTTTACCGCCTCGATTCAACACCCAGCTCCAGCATTGCTTCAAAACTGGCCTGGATGCACCATGGGGTGCATCCACAGGGTTTTCCTTTGAAGAGTTTCTTTTATATTTCAATTGTAATCAATTCTTAATGTTGATTTAAAAAGTGGTTCAGTCAATTAAATTTTACTCTGAGCTTTGAAAATGGGTTTGATACAGGGTATCTCCTAGCGAGCATTCCCAAGCAGTCAGATATAATTTAATGTTTTTATATATATGTATTTCCCCTTTATACTTCATCTGTCAATGTTTACTGAGAACTCGAATAGTTGGGCGTATGTTTTACAACAGTCTGTTAAGTTCTTAGAAAGCTTTTGTGGTGTCAAGCTTTATCCACACTTACCCAAACAACCATTGCCAAGGAAAAGCTCCAAATGTGCCGTATAGAATGCCGGTCCGAATTCCTCCCACTGTCCGCGATCCTTGTGCACCAACATGCGTATGCCAAAGGGTATGGCAAAGACAATGGCAAGCAGTGCGGCCGTGGAGTAGGCTAAGGAAAATGAGAAGTACAAGAAAAGCGGGAAAATTTGTAAAGCTCACATTATAGCTGTTTTATGGCTGAGTTTATGGCATAATTATGGCGTCGCTTCCGACATGGCCGCGAACAGGAAGCTAACGAAACTGGAACCGGCACTAGACAACTCCCCCTACTTCAACCAGAATGAATGGCTCTGAGTTCCTGTTCCTTTTTGGTGGTCGGTTCTCTGTTTGCTTAATTTCGCGTTCCTTTTCGGAATAAATAATTTTTCTGTTGTTGCCCGATGTTTTTGTTGTGATATGTTATTTCTACTTATTGCCGAATGCGAATGTGCGTGTGCGAGTGCGTATGTGTGTGTGTGTGTGTGTGTGTGTGTGTGTGTGTGTGTGTGTGTTATTTATTGATTTACGACTTGTTTATGGCTCTATAATTACATTATTACTTTATATATTTGCTTCGTGAGCGGCCACTTGACCCGCTCTTCTGATGCCACAAATTGTCGTGCCAACAAAGCTTAATGCTAGATATATGACTTCCTGCGATGCAAACACACAGCAATATACACACACACACACACATACACATACAGATACACAAACACACACATATGATATATAATGCTGTTCATCTAATTGGGTACATGCCACATCAATATGAATGTCAGTTTTGTGTGCGCCAAGCTTGATAAGTGTCCATCACATGATGATTCGTTCATCACATTCAGCACATGGGCCTAATTTATACAAATCTGTTCTATTGGCAGTCAACACAGAAGTTGTTTGTGGTGCAAACTAACTGACTAGAAGGCCGAAAGGATTGTCAGCTTAACAGTGAAGGTCAATTGATTGAGCATTCACTTGAGGCCAACAAAGAACAAAGATTCTATATGAAATACGGTAACAGCTTCCAGCTTACGTAGGGAATGCCACTCACATTAAGTTGATGCTCTTCTTCTGGGAATGTTTTTTTAAATTGATGTATTCCTTTCAGCAATTTAAAATTTAAACAGAAAGATGTCCGGTTTAAAAAAAAAATCGTCTCTTTATAAATTATTCAATAATTGAATTTTTATATCTGTAGACGGGATGTAGATTTCCTTTCTCGAATCATTAGCAAATAACATAAGAAAGAAGGCCCAAATTCAAGTGGCAGTAAACCAAGAATAGTTATTCGATTTGTTGAGCTCATGTACAATGCGTAAAGTTGGGCATTTGCTGTGTCCTCTGAAAGTTGTACTCTAGTTTATTATAGAGCCGATAACTTTCCCCATCGATTCCCCTGTCAGTCATAAAGCATGAAAGCCCCTACAAAAAGAGAGCTTTCATAGCCCAAGTGCATAACTTTTGTTTGCTAAACTGGCACCAAATAATGGCAGCGTGCTGTGCCTCTGATACACGTTACAGTAGGAGCACACACACACCCGCACACACCCGCACACACCCGCACACACACTGAAAGAAATACACATAAAGCAGTCAGACAAACAGTGGAAGGCATTGACCGACAAATGGCAACGGACCGCGTCGTAAAAAGGCTGCTGGCAGCAAAATATTTTTGTTTTTTTTAATAAAATGACTGCTCTGATTTCGGTCATTATTACTCAGAGGCCTTGGCAACCAGCTGTAAGCTTACAGTTCTGGGATAGTCCAGTTGTAAGTAGAACCAGTTTCAGGTTTGGCACTGCTGCAAGGCTATTCAACTTAATATTTACTGCCATGCCACTCGGCTTGCCTGTTGAGATGAGACTGGTGATATTTCAAGCGGAGGGCCTCACTTTGCATTTATCCAGCCACCCAGCTACCCAGCTACACAGCTAACGAAAAGCCGTAAGTGGCAACCATCTAACATTTTCCACTTTCCAGTTACCAGTTACCAGCTATCACCTATCAGCTAGCAGCTAGCAGTTGCCATCTCGCTTGTCGCATTCCGCATTCCGCATCCCGCATCTCGTGTCTTCCGGCCGCCATTTGGCAAAGCTGGCAAGCAGGCAAGCAAAAGGCAATCAATTATGTTGCCATCGCATGCGTATTACATTTGAAGCATTTTACATTTTATACGCGTATTTGCGGAGCTGCTTTCTTTGAAGCTGAAGCTGGCAAATAATGCGAGTCCTTGCCCCAGTCCTTGCCACAGACACAGCGCACGCCGCTTGACTGATTGCCGGCCGGAAGGCGAACTGCGGACTGCACAAGAATTGGCAACATGCTGCGCCGTTGACATATTTCATTTTTTGTCGGCCATCTCATTAATCAATTAAAAGGCCATAAAGCGAGCGAGCCTCCAATATACTTATTTAGTTGCTTGCACGTATTTAACATCCTGTCCAATAGGTTTCGCCATTTTTTGCGCGTATTTCCTTTTTGGCGCAATGCCGGCCGGTGTCCCTCCTTTCGCCGGGGAGCTTAGCGGCTTTACATAAATTTCCGAAAGCCTAATCAAATAAGGTTCCCTAATGCCAGTCCCTACAAACATACACATACGCATATTCGTTTGCCATAAGCCATTACAGCTACAGTTTGCCATTGTCATTGTTTGGGCAGGGTCAAAGGTTATTTTCTTAAGTATAAGCAAGTGTGAATATATGCATGATAATAGGAAATTCATTGAAAAGATATGTTTTCTTATTTTTATACATTTACATGAAATTAAATTCCTATGCATCGATGTGAGAGAGCTGAAGTGTGTCATAGTTAAACTAGTCAGGTTCGAAAAATATTAGGAACCTTTTTTCCAAGCACTCAACATTGTATCTCTGCTTGTATCTGGAACATACCTTGGTTAAAGTACACCATAAAAAATACGAGCTATTATAGTTACATTCTAAAATTGGATTTAAATTAACTTGAATGGTTATTTTAATAGCCTTTCCGCATGAATGCACTATATAATATTAGTATATGTACATATCCTAAAAGTCGGTGCTCAACTGAGATTAAAGTAAACAAATGTTGAGAATAAACAAAAATGTTCGTCTGCCAATTTAATGCAATTACAGTGAAGCTGCGTTGAGCACCGAAACCCTACGCTTCTGTAAACTTCAATTTAATGGCTGCTCTCTTAAAAAATATATAAGTTGGTCCATAAGTGATGCTAGAACAAACCCGGTGAAACTCCCGCCACCCACTGCCGCTTTTCGGCTGACTCGCCCATGCTCTAAGCAGGTCCTCAACTAGATTTGTTATGTGAACTGAACAGAGAAATCAAATTAGTTGAAATTACAAGAGGAAGAGCATTGAAGTTATGACTCAAGTTTTTTTTAATTCCAATTACGGCTCTTGTTAAGAGTAAATACATTTGAACTTGTAGTTTTAATATTCAAACAAGCCAACAAATTCGTTTTTATTTAATACAAAATATGAATTTAATTGGAATCATTGGGAATAACATTTAGGCCCACACTAAGACGCCTAAGCGCCTTAGCTGGAATATATTTATACTAGCGTGCTTAGCCGGCTTTGCTTGTGCCAAGTTCTAAGCCTTAAACTTTTGGACACCACGTTCTCCGTCCATATTCAGAAATTGTACGTACATTTTCGGTTACACATTTAAAAATTGCGAAACAGCCATATTTATAGAGCTACCCATTAAAGTTGCGCAGCAGTTAAAGCTCGATGGAAAAAACAGTATTAATAAGGATGCCATCGAAGCTGGCTTAGATTTAAAGCTGTGAAACGACCCGGTGCAGATGTTTTGACAGTGTGTGTCCCGGACCAAAAGATCACATAACTGCTTTCAAGAATTAACAGCATAATTTAGAGCTTTAGTATGGAAGTCCTTTTTAATTGTAGTATGTATGTATATCGTTAGCATATGATTCTATTTTCTTCAATATTGAACCAATGTAATTTATATGTTTGCCATATGTAAAACACTTTGCAACGGAATAACAATAAATCCTATTTTTATCCACACACCAATTTCATTGAACATATTAAGCATAGTGCTTCGTACACAAAACACTCTGTATGCTTGACTGTGCGGGGCTTGCCTAAAAATCAATCGTTTTATTGAAAATGTTTTGTTTTTGCAGTTATTTTAACCAACGTCAACAGTTCTTTATTTGATTATGATGAACACACTCTGGCCAAGGTTGAAAACATCGGACTGCGGAAGCATATTGCTTTCCATGGGTTCTATGTTGCTCGAAATGTATTTGTTGCATAGAGAATGAAAAATTGATTTAAAAATGAACTAAAGTTTCTACTTAAGATTTTGTGGTTGACGTTTTTAAGTTTTTGCAAATTTTTAATATAACATTTTTGAATATTTATGCAATTTTTTGGTTTTATCAAACTCGGTCAATTGCTGTTTCATAGTGTATTATATTTTTTATTGGTATTATTATCATTACTCATATTATTTCCACTCGAACATTATCAATTAAAGTGTTGAAAATATCACCAGCAACCATGGACTTAGTCTACATAGTCATAGTCTCATATGAATTTGCTGTTAAGCAAATATATATGGTTAATTTGGAGGGGATGCTAATTCTTGCAGTGTATTTTATGTTATTTCTGGGACACTGTAAATGTTTTTGTTTTCATGGTTTTCTTCATGGTAACGATTGAGCGAGAAAAAGTAATTCCGATGTATACAATTTGAGTGTGGAATTTGGAGGCGCTTTTTAAGCGAATGAAATACTTTCAACACACTAAAATTGGCAATTATTCAGTGAAGTGGCCATTTGCAGACAGTCAATGAAATTGAATTTCTTCGTAATGACGTAAGAAGGAGACAGAAGAAGGAGAAAGGAAAGAAAAGGTTTCCAATGTTTGGGCAAGGAGCAGGCGCCGACTGACTTACCTCGCATGTAGATGTAGGCGGTGCCGCGCATATTGCGACGTGTGAGAACAATTAGGTTGAGCACATTGCCAATGATGCCCAGGGCGCAGATGACGGGCAACATGAGGCCGTAGCAGTATTCGCGTAGAGATTCGGTGCGCGGATCCTCCACGTCCTGCGATAAACAGAGGGAAAGGATGGCAGACAGTTGAGCGACAGCGCAACCAATAAAAAGTAATAATAATAATAAAAATAATAGTAAACAAAATCGCCAAGGCTCATAAATCATGCAGCACTCCCTCTCGCTCTAGCACCCACTTCTCCACTGACACTTTGTCTCCCTTCCGCCCGCTGCTGCTGCTCATTCGGATGGGCTGCTAAAGATAAAAATTCAATAGTCAACTTGACACTTTTATTTGCGACTTGTTATGCTCACGCACCCACACGCCCATGCGGACACACTAGTTATATGCTACACGCCAGAGTGCTAGCTTTTTCTCTATCACACTGTCTATCTAAATAGCTCCCTCTCTCTCGCTCCCATTATCTCTGTCACGCTGCTGCTCTCGCTCTCTCTCTTTCTCTTTCTATCTCTCTGTCTTAACACGTGCCCCACTGAGTGGGTTGGCTTTTTCGCATTGTAAATATGTTTTGCATGCTTTTTTAGCATGTTTGCTTTTGCTTTTTGTTAAGTTTTTTATTGTTGCTGCTGCTGCTGCTGCTGCTGCCGTTGTTGTTGTTGTTTTACTATGGTTTTTGTACCTTACGCCGAGATAGACAGGCACCACCAGTTCACTTGAGTTCGCCTTTTCTGCAGCCTTGAGCGAAAGTTGCACACAAAGCACCTTTTGAACGGCAGCAGCGCCAGCAGCAGCAGCAGCAACACCCGCAGCACCAACACCAACACCAACAGCCTCAGCTACAGCAACAGCAGCAACATCACCCGCAGCAACAGCAGCAGCAGCAGCAGCAACGGCAGCAGCGGCTTGTGTGCAAACTTTTTGCACGTGCTGTGCTATGAAATGAGTTATTTCGCTTTTGCCTTGAATAGGACTTTCGTCCTGGCTGCCACCCAGCCCGTTCCCCGTTCCTATCGTTTAATAAGCTGTGTTAGAAAAAGAGGAAAAAAAAACAACAACAACAACCACATTATGAGTGTGCCGCTGAAAAGTAGGCAACAGCTCTACTGCAGCTGTTCGCAGCAGGTGCCTTCCTCTGACATAACTGATTGTAGCTCAAAGAACAGATTGAAATGAAGCTGCTAATATGACATGATTTTCAAGAAAACTCAGTCATAGTTTATGGGAGAAAAATCCGAGAGATTTACTGGCATACAACTGCCACATATTGTGAACATATATGAACGTTCCTCATATATAACATAAACTCATATCAAACCACAAGCAACAGGCTTGTCATTTTTAATAAAATTCTCTTCTTTGTGTACAAATAGTAATTTAATAGCAATAAAAGCAAGAGGTAAACAACATAGGCACCTGCTGTGAGCAGCTGCTTTTGATTTTAGCTCAAAGAACAGATTGAAATGCAGCTGCCAACGTGACATGCTTTTAAAGTAAACTCAGTTATAGTTTATGGGAAAATTGTGTGATTCACTGGAATACAACTAGCACGTATTGCGGTATAAACGTTCCCTACATAAAACTATGCAACAGGCTTATGATGTTTAATAAAAGCCAGTTAGTATATAATATGTGTGTTGTGTGCACAAATTGCAATTTAATAGATATATTTGCTATGGGTACACAAAATACTTCATACACTCTAGTTTCTGCTAATATCTAGCTGATGGCCTTGGTAGCCACTGTTAGTAAATAAATAGTCTTGAATAGCTTATGCAAGTAAAGAAAAAATAGGTTAAGCTACTGAGCACGTTATACAACACTGGTCTGCTCTAATTAATGTATAGGCTTATGGCTAATTAACAAAATAAAAGAACAATAAATTCATGTTGTGAAAATATTTTCAAGTAAAATAAAAATAAAACACTATATAGAAATCAATTAGTTGATAATGGCAAAGTTAGACGGAAAATAACACAAGCTTGTGACGTTGTACAGTCTTGTTTTTCTCAATTAAACAACACGTTGACTTTCAATTAATAAGTCCGCCCTGCGTTAACTGTACAACCAATTTACTACCCATTTTTTTTTTGCTGCCGCATACCTTACCATAAAGGTGAACAATGAAAATTGTGCGCCCAAGCACTGACAATAATATTTTGCTGTCATTTTTGTTTGATTTGATTTTATTATTATGCTAATCTAAGTACATCTCGTGTTACACACTGAGAGCATGGCAAACATATTTCTCTAAGATTTTCCACTTACCGCATATAAGTCGTCTCGCAAGTCGTTGGCATAAATGTGGGTCGAATTGGCGGTGGTGCCCAGGACGAGGTCATTGCTGCTGGTGAGATTCGCGCCCCAGATGAATGAGCAGTAGGCGGGATCCTCTTCGGTATTGTATAGTCTTGTTATCATAGTTTTGCTCTGACGGATGCCAATGATTGTTGTTGTGTGAGTGTGGGCCTTCAAGGATCCGCAATGAGATTCTAGTTTCATTTGTGTAAGTAAAGAAAGCGAACAAAGGCAGCAGAGTCAAAGAAATTGCGTGTAAAAATAGCTGGCGGGACAAGCTCATGAATGAATGCGGGCCCTCTACCACGTCGAAGCCATGTAATTTAAATGGCAAACCGTCGACGACGACAACAACAGCAACAACCACAACGACAACAATATCGACACCGACTGGTGTGCGAATGAGAGGGAGACTGGAACAAGAAGCACAACAGAGAGAGCGAAAGAGAGAGGGAGAGAGAGTCACGACTAGCGAAAACGGAAGCGTTCACTTTGCAATAAAAACAAAGCGCTCTCTAAAAGCTGAAATAGGCTAGGAAGCTGGCTGGAACCAGATAGGAGCCTGATACCTATGGAGCCTAAGCCCGCCCAATGCCCCAAGGCGTAACAATTGGGGCTTTGATTGCCATTGGCACAAACAAATCATCGAAAAATTGAAAAGCAACTGTCAGCCCAGAGATATAAAAATAAAATGCTGGAAATAATTGTGGGCTGTAAATATGTTCAAAGTGAATAAAAACCTATCCAGGGAACCCGCTCCTTAACAATGCCTAAAACGGTCGCTCGAGGCTTGCGAGCCGAAGCAGTTCACAGCGATTCTCAGCGAAATGTTTGCGTCATTTGACTCAGTTAAGCGGAAATGTTTCTTTATGGGCATAAAAAGAAATAAAACTATTATAATACAATTTTAAATGCTGATTACTTTGTGCTGTGATTTCTCTTACATCATATTCTGTGTCATTGCCTTGGATTAAATAAGCTGTATTCATGCTGTTCACCAAACTATCAAATAACAAATAAGTAAATGTGCTTTAAGCGGGCATGCCCTACTGGGAGTTACCCCGCAATCAGCGCCGAGCTGTTGTATTTGTGTACTTGTGCAAAAGTTGCGGCTATGCTTTTTTATATATGTATAACTTTAGTGGGAAGGGGAATATATTTGGTGCCATCTACGGAACCTGAGACATACAGTTGCAGAAAACCAATATAACCTTTTTCACTTTCAGTAGATTTCGCGTGTAAGAGTACATTTATATATGTTATATAGGAAGTAATCCCCGAATTGTCCCCTTGAAAAGGATTACATACATGGTAGCATTGACAAACTAATGCGATTGTTTGCAGTTGTCGATGAGGTGTTGTTAAGTTGACAAGAGGACATCGTTGACAAGCGGATGAGAACACAAAACGCAGTTTAACTTCTTGTTAACCAAATGTAAGCCCTTTAAGGCTTAAGGATGAACGGTCCTGTTCATGCTGTTATGTGCAAATGCGAAAAATGTTTTTAAATTGAAATGGAAATGCGTGTAATGAGAACATTTGATTAGTATATATGTGGGATGCAAATCAATATGATACATACTTTATAGCTGATAGAGCTCACCTCTGGTCTGGACTGCCCTCCGTGGTGATTAATCTGATCTGGGCTCAAACGATCAGTTAATTGCTGCCACAGCTGGAAGCGGGAAAAAGGTGTAAGCTCTTTTACACCCCTCTGTGAGGATCTCTAGCGGTCCTTAATGCACACTTCTGTGTTTGTTGAAAGTTTCTTAGTATTTGAAGCGCTCGAGCGGATGTCGAGGCAGTTTCCGTTGTTGTTGAAGTTGCTGCTGCTGTTGCTGCTGCTGCTGACACATGTTGCATGTTGTTCACACGCTGCAATGGGCACTCTGCAATGATAAGTAGCATTAAATGTTATGCGCTTAGTAAGGAGTCCCAGCAAACTTCATTTTATTGCCACTGTATTTTATTTGTATTTTATTGTGCAAGAGGAAGCCCTAAAGTACACCAACACCCGGCGTTTGATCTTGGCAAAGTGAGCTTGGAGTAGGGGCTATGGACCCACCTTACGTGTCATACAAACGACGCCGTCGACGTCGCACATAGTAGCCGAGGCCCTGGCAACAGGTGTGTTTTATATTCACGCGTCACTGAAAGTCAACACGCGCCTGCAACGCCCACCGCCCGCCATCCACAGTCCATAAGCACACTCACATATAGATGGAGCTTCACACAGCAGCAACAACACACTAAGCGCTAAAATCAACGCTGACAGCTACAGAGTTTCATATAAGATATTTGATAAATTGCCCAACCAGAAGCCGGTGACGGCAGCTAGCCAGGCAATAAGGACGAACGCCTTTAAATATAGCGGACAAGGACCTTCTGAACAAATATGAAATATGCGCGAGTGCTCAGTACCTCGAGCTATAAAATGATGGCCAATAGATGAGTTTTCTTACAACTTCACCAAGCAATAAACGTGCTTATGCTTAAAGGTGCTTGGCTACGATTGACTCTGTAAAATGTTGGTTTAAATTCAACTTAAGTAGCTTCTTGATATTACTAGGTATTGAATCTTTGAGTATTTTGTCAGACAAGTATATGGAGTATATGTGTTTTCAATAATCTAAATATTATTTAGAAAGGCCCGCATTTGAAAAAGCACTTGGTTTGCCTTGCAATAAAAGTGGGGCGGTTATTTTAGGACCAAGCTTTTTGAATAATACATTTTTGGGTACAATGGTATTTTTCCATAGTCAGGCTCAATAGGTTAGAGAAAGGTTTAATGAAGATTCCAATGTCTTGCAATGTTTTGCAAATCAAGAAAACGATTTGAGGTTGAACTTTAGAGAGGCGAAGACATATTTAACTATTTTTTATTATTTTTTTCATGCTCTCTTCTTATTTTGCATTTTATTTAATATATATTTTCGAAATTTTCATATACATTTTTTCACTTTGCCCTACTTCATTTTATTTTATATTAATATTTTTTACTTCTTTTGACACTCGGCTTGTTAACTTTAAAATAATACAATTTGCGGTAATCATTTAAGCGTAATTTCTTGGAATATCTTATTGCACAGCGTACTTGATTCCACTTAGTGTACCCCTTCGCAGCTCGCTTAGCTGTACGCGCGCATAAGTATGCAACACTTTGTGCTATTTGCATGTGGCACACATCACGCATACGCAGTGTGCTACGCTGAAGTGCAAATCTCCTGCTGCCGTCGGGGGAGATCGAATGACACAAAACATGACACAAACTTAATTTCCCCAAGGCAACCATAAAAGCTATTCCCTCTCCAGCTAACTGGCTGACTGGCTGACTGACTAGCTGACTGACTGACTGGCGGACTGTGGGAAAGAGTGAATGAATCGCGACTTAGCAACACTGTTGGCACTTCAAAGGTGCGACAACTGGCTGACTAGCAGCTTGGCAGACTATTCGAATACCTCGGACACGGAGTCTACGCTGTCGCACGCATCGACGGGTCAGCTGTGTGGAATATTACAAGCAACCTGTCATATTGCATTGCTGGCTGGGAAGGATGTCGCAATGGTTTTGCCAGCGATTATCATAATAATTCGCCAGCCAGGATACTCGACACACACGAATGATTTGTGCGGGTTGCGGGTGGTTTGGGACCTCTGGTGCTGTGACCGGGCAAGGCCAGGTGATGTGCGTGCAGGGGGGCAAGCGGGGGCGGGGTTCGCTCTTTAGTTGGTGTAGGCGTTGCCGTCGCTTGTTAGTTTTGGGCATTTTGGACTCTGTTTGCTGAGCACTTACAGTTATTGCGGTCTAGTTTCGGGCCAAAAGTTTTCATTTGGTAAATAAATAAGGTTCTGTAAAAAGCACAAAACCACCTACCGCCCGCAGCCCGTGCCTTTCCCACCTTCCGCTTTGTCACTGTCTGCCATGCTTGTGCACTTTTTCGTATTTTCAATTAATAGAGTATAACTAGGGTATATCTGAAAGACTAAAGGCGATGTGCTCGGGAATACATATGCTCTGTATATTTCAGATAACATCGTTTTGACGGACTTTGAACAAGACCACACGGATTTGCTCTATTATTTTTCATACAGTTCAGATAGTTTGATTGGGAAAGAGTATCTGTCTATTGCTAAGTAGCATGTAAATTTGATTGTCGTTTGTTCTATATGTATATATATACATTGGGATCTGTTTTTTCGGGGTTGTTTCATTTTTTTGGGCCTCTGTTTAACCAAAAACAGTTTGTCATTTATGAAAACACACTTACACACACCCACCCACACACACGGACACACACACATGAGTGTGCAATGTATTACCATGATTTTCGCTGTTAGGCCAGGACATATGAGGCTATTGCCAATACCCGATATAATGACCGCAGAGACTAAGAGAATCTAAACAAACGCTTAGTAAACCCTCTGAAGACTCCATTTCGCTTAATTTAAGCCAGCTAAGTGTACCCTTCTGTCGCCCTCTCACTCTCACTGCGTGCGCCTTTTTCTCTATGTTTCTATATATAATATATTTAACATATATATATGTATATATATATATATATATATATATATATGTATTTCGCTCTACGCTGGCATGATTAATGCCTTTGTTTGTGTTTCCCGCATCGCTTCTTGGTGTGTGTTTGCTTCTTTTTTTTTTTCTTCCTGATTGTTGGGCCTGCCGACCGAATGATATGTTTAACAAAAAAGTTTAACGCAAATTAAGTCAAACTGGCAGCGCTTAACGATGTGCGACATAGATGAATATCTGTGTGAATTTGGCTGCCTGTGTGGTGAACAAGTGTGTGTGTCTATGTGTGTGTGTGTATGTGAGAGAGTGTGTGTGCTTAGTCGTGTGTCCTGTTCGGGACAACCCACAGTGCCTGCAGTTTTGCCTGACAGCGGGTAGATGGCCAATGTCCCCTAAATTGTAGAGCTGGCTTTAATTTACACACAAAACGAGCTTCGTTCAAGGGACAGCTCACAGGACAAAGGACCAGAGGAAATGGAATATTGTAGAACATTCCCACGCTGGCAGAGCACAAATTAAGTTTGTAAGAAATCCACATATCAAAAAGGAAATCAACTCAAGACGTCAACAAATAAAAAAAAAAACTTTGACTTAAAGGCGACAACACACTGCGCTCTGCTGAATTCAAGTTTATTGTGCTCTGTGCCCCATAAAGTTAGACGAATCCGAAATTGTATTTAATTTTGATTTTATTTTATGTATTTTTAATCAACAGCAGCCGCGTTCAACTGGCATAAAAATCGCAAGTTTGATTGATATTTTGAATACTCAGTAGAACACAACCGCAGTTCGCCTTTCACTCCATAGAATATATATTCCTAATCAGAGCGAAGATCTAATTTGCCTTGGCCAGAAATGTCTATTTGTCTTTAAGAGCGCGTCCTTCCATTTTAATCTGCTAATTTTAAAATGATCACGTATTCTGTCTAATTTTTTCAAGAAGCAACAAAGAGCTTTTGCGATTGCAATGTACGATGGGCAAATTAGATGGAAAATTGAAAAGTGTGAAAAAAGAGGCTCGTACTTGAACTAATGAGGTTCTAGAACCAAATCAAACTGTCGGCTATGTGGTTTACGGTTGAATCTTCCTGCCTTGAAGTTTCGTTCGTAATTTTGGTCAAAAGACCATGAGTTGAATACGTTCAATTGTTGCTATAAAATTAATTAATACAGTTGCATCTTGAAGCCGAAAAATCATCATTAGTATAGACTCTATGTCTATTGAAATAGACTCTATTGCTTTTGGAACTACGTCCATTACACTCGCTGTCCTTATGTAAGTAAAAAACAAGTAAAATTTCAGTATTCATATTTTGTACAGACTAATATTGTTGTACTGCAAATGCGAAATTATCAATGTGTCTCGCAAAATTATGCTGTCAATATTTGCATTGAACTTAGCTGTGTGAACCTACGCGTACTTCACCTACTAAAACGTTGTACAGATATTATTCCTGTTTGACATCCTGTCAAATGGGAGAACTGTTGCCACACACTGTTCGTTTTGCGCGTCATTGGCATATGTTTTTGTGTGTGTGTGCGTGTGTGTGCCTGGGTGTGTGAGCGAGTGTCTGCTTGCCAGACCATTAAGTTTTTAATTTCTATGCTGCCTGTACGAGGCGTCAACGAGTCGAAGGTTCGAGGCGTGACTCTAACTGCCAGACTGCAGCTTTTTGGACCGTAAGACAATTATATACATATATATAGATAAATATATATATATATATATATATACCATATATATTATTTTTATATATTGTATGTATGCATGCAACAACTACAGCCTGTTCGTTGTTTTCTTTTAATTACGCAATCGTCTTATATTAATTTTCTTAGGTGTGGCAACCAATTAAGCTTTTAATTAAAATTTAAAAACAAAAAAATGCCTGCTGCCAAAAAGGAAAAATAAAAAGATGCCGAGGAAGATGTTCCATACTCGCAGGCGCCAGGGAATTTATAAAGTTGCCGCCAACGTCTTCGAATAAAAAAAGACCCAAGTAAAAATATTTGAAAAAAAAAACTACGATGAAAACTTGCCGCAAAACTTTTGCTCGCAAGGACGAGCAAACTGCTGAGTAGCTATTTCTGATAATGGGCGAGTTTTTAATCGAAGACTTATCGCAAAGTCATCAGAAAAGTCGTTCAGGGTCGCGCGGTTTCATTGTGGCACGTGACACGCGTGACACGCGTGCAACGCCTGCCCTGCCCTGGCCGATTAATTCTCAATTGAAATTTACATTTGTATGCACAGCAGCGTTAGCTACAACAACGCCAGCAACAACAACATCAACCACAAAGACAGCCATAAATTGGGTTGACCCGTTGACGTTGTCGCTGGGCAGTTATCAAAATATCTTGCGAGCGACTCCTTCGGTCGTGCCGCCAGAATAAGCATTCAAAGTGTCTTTTGTGACTTTTTAGGCTTTCTAATATCCTTCTTGAGGGCATTCGAGTCTTCACACGAAGTTTGTAACGCCCAATATGGGACATTGAGTATATAAGTATATTCTTGTTTAGTATCTATGGCCGACTCGAGGTAGGCATGCCATCTGTGTGTTTGGCAATACGTGTCAATTCATTTTGCCCATCGAGATATTTTAAAGATATATCAGTTATGTGCAGCACTATTATTTAGATATGTGCGCAAATCTTAATCAAATCGTGCCACTATATTGCGTTGGAGCAATCGGTCGGATAGAAAGGCACATCTATGCCGCATGCCTACAAGCGTAGTTAATCTTCGGCGTGCTGAATGTAGCCGCAGTTTCTATTTTTTCTTTCAGGTCCATCGCATCAGGCACTAATGGACCTTGAATGCCACTGTGGCTGCTTGCTTTCAAATCTTAGCAGTCATCAGTCAAGTGACATCCTTTTAAGGATTAACCTGCATTGTGGCACTGCAGTGGCACTCGGCAAGCTATTTTGGTACATTCATAAGAGCAGCCAAGTGGTGCAGGATGGGAATAATTAGGAGCTTATGACATGTGTGCTAATTATGCTTAAAAGCAATTTAACCTCGCAAGAATTGTTGCCAAGAGTGCACTATATTTAGCTTCAGCTCAGCGCAATGGCTTTTGCTAATTGAATCAAAAATGAGTGCACCACTTAAAACTGAGTAAGGATGCGATTTTCAAGTCAGGGTATGACTATTCAAGCTAATTGCCATAGAAAAATAAGCTTGGACTTAAAATGACCTGGCTGTCAGACTCTTCTAGCTGAGGCTAGATCTTGATACTAACATTGATTTGTGGACATCGAGAATAATTCGGATAGTAATAAATAAATTTGATGTTTACAAGCTCAGAAATGACGAACAAACGAACAGATATTGTGGTCAAATTGTCTGGCTTTGACAACTGCATTTATGCGGACGACCTTATGAAGAAAATAAAAAAATAAATAAAATAACGAATGGAAGATTTCTGTTGGTATTAAAGCTTAATTCTATTCAACTACCATTTTTTATTGGGCGTATAAAATGTCGTCTATCCATCTACTCGATATATACATTATAATTTGTAGTCTTTGAAAATGCGAATAGTTTATACTTTTATTACGGGTCAACAATGTGCACCTACTTACTAACCAACACACACACACACACACACAAACAGCCACACATGAATTTTGTTGTATCTGTGTTCAATTTGGTTGGCTCCGCTCGTAAATGACAATAATTGGCCTTGGCTTGATGAAAGTTTCTCCGTTGCAGAGTGCAATAAGAGAACTTGGCCAATTGCTATCAGTGGCAGCAAATAAGCAGCTCGATGGTTTAAATGAGAAGCGAGAAAGGGAACGAGACAGAGACAGAGATAGAGAATCAGTGAGATAGAGCGAGGGACAGAGTCTAAGGCAAAATTAGCTTTCATTCGTTTCAGTTCTGCTTCTTGTTCTCATATAGTTTGTTGTTTGGGGTCCAACTAGCAGTTGCCATTGCCATTGCCATTGGCAACGTGACTTTTCTTTGCGCTGGCTGCTGCTGTTTTTACGGGGACAACTGCAACAGTGGCATCAGCAGTAGCATCAGCTGCCTGCCATTGTTAGATTGTTGGCCTGTTGGCTTGTTGGCTTGTTGGCTTGTTGGCTTGTTGGTGCCATGCCAAAACGCATAACTTGTAATAACGCGCTGACCCCGACGCCTGCACACAACCACACACACAACCAAACACACACAATCGCGCACGCACACAACAACACATGCTAACATGCAGATGCACTTAGGAGTCAAGCGGCGTTAGGAGCTTGTTGGGGTGAGCTGGAACAAAATGCCGTTGAAAGTGCACTCGAAATCGCAATGGAAAATGAAAATGGAAATGGAAATGGAATGTCAACTTACCACACGGCGTGCAACGGGAGCAGCGACTTTAACGGAATTGTGAACACGTTGGCTGCTTCTAAATTGTTGTTGCTGTTGCTGTTGTTCTTGTTGCTGCTGGAATGGGGCACTTTTTCAGCAGACAAAAACAAACGAAAAAAAAACTCAGAAAAAAAAAATGTTGCTACAACAATTTAGTTGCTGTTTTCTTGCTTTTTGTACATGATTAAGTTTTTGGCAGTAATTTTCGTTGCGTTCGTTGTTAAATGTTTCTGTCTTAAAGTTTATTGTGGCAGTGGACGTTCCTTAGTTGGCAGTGTGTCGGTGGGCTGCTGGCAATTCTATGAGCTGTCTGTTTTCTGAGCTAATTATTATTATATTTTATTTTGCCATGCACAGCTGTCTATTAAAAATACATAAATTTGCACTTAAGTCGTGGCACTGTAAGAACTTATGCAGTAACACGCGCGAGCACACACACACACAGACACACACACACACACGCACACACGCATACACACATGAAAGCGACACTTTCGAAATGCCAGCCAAGCTCGGTCGGTTGCATTTCCGTTGCCTACTTTTAAGCGCGCAAAGTAATTCTTTTTGTGCGCCTAGCGCTCACTGCCAATTTGAAATGCACAACACGTAACTACACACGCACACACAATTGCGTACAGACACACGCGCGCACGTACAAGCTTACATCCACACACACACACACTCAATATGCTTGATATTTGCCACAGAAATGTCGCAGAATAATGAATGTAAAAAAAAACATCTTTTTTGTAATATGCATTTCTGCATGTTCATGCACTTCTGTTTTATTCACTCTAACTTTTTGCACGGTCGCTCGCGCTGCCAATCAAAAGTCATTCACTTTGCTGCCAGCCTTCAGTATTTATCAGCAACAAGCAAGAAATATGTATTTATAAAAAAAAAAACAAAAAAAAAAAAATAACAAAACGTTTTGATTATTATTATTTTTTTCTTTGAGATTCTCCTGATGCTGCTGACCGTTGTCCATTCAAAGTTTAAAACTGCCAGCCAAAAAGCTGCTGCTGCTGTTCTCTTTTGCTCCTGATTCGCTGCTGTTACTGCTGCTGCACGTCCAAGCCGTTCGGTTGCTCGCTGGCAACTGAGTCGAATGCTGGCTGGGACGTGCCTCTTATCAAGTGGTGGGCGGCATGCGTGCGGGATATTTTACTGCCACTGTTATCAAAAATTTCCCTGCTGTAATGCCGCTGTTAACTGAAAGGACAGTTACCGAGGTCCTTCAGCTTTTATACTGTGTAAGTTTAACTGAAAGCTATGTCGCACAAGATCAATCCCAAACTTACAAGTAATTATATTCCAAACTAGATTTTATTTCATTTTTACAATTCATTGAAATTGGGTTAGGCTATGCAGGCCATTCGATCTGGAGGTACATAAGTCAATTGTGTTGCCTATTGAATTGAAAGATGGGCAGGCATAGAATTGGGTATATGTTTTAATTAATACGAGCTTAATTACAACTTAAAGAGGCTCAATTTAGAATATTTAATAAATATTTCGATGAAGTTTTTAATAAAACGCACTACTATGCGATTCTCATGAATCTAAGTAAGGCTTTCAGGCTTGAATGCTAGGCTTATAGTTGCCTGACCGTTTTAATGAATACGGGCTCAAAACTTTGACTTTGAAGTTGCGCATTATAAAATATTAGAAATATGTTTCGGAAGAATCGCCCTTTATGCAATTTTTAATGGAGTCAAGTACAGCTTTCAAGCTTAAACGCTTTCAATTCTTTAGTTTTTAAGGCTACTTTTAGTTTATATAATTTTGCGGATCCAATAAACCATAATTGTATGTGTCTATGCATGTACCAAAAGGTCAGCAAGCAAATTTAAAAAATATTTTTCAACATCGCCCAACTATGATATATGTATGTCTGTTTGTGCATATGGATGCTTTACATAGCAAACGCAGACCAAGTTTATTTACCACAGCGCCGAAATGCAGATACTTAAATAAGCTTTATAGATTTAATCCTTTAATTATAAGTGTTTCATTAACTAGGTTTGTTGGGGAATCGCATTAACTTTACCTCTGCTTTCAGACGCTTACTACTCTACTCTCTACTCTACTCTCTACTCTTTCTTGGCCTTGCTCACATTCTAGTTAGCTCTCTACTTCTTTTGTTTATTCAGTTATGTGGATATATTAACGACTGTCTCCAAATTTCTTTTAATGTATGATTTTTGAGTATATATATATATATATATATATATATATATATACATATATATATATTTATATTTTAATGTTTATAAACTTATTATCAAAGATCTATGTTCATTAAGGACTTGCTTTACCCTTCTCATAAAAACCACCCCATGGACGCAATATAGGATGAAAGTTAAATTTTGTTTTGTTAAATCTTTTAATTGCGCAACCGGCCAACTATACCGTAATTGCTTATGATGAAAATATATTTTTTAATTTAAGCCAAAATGGAGTTGCTTTTAAAAGTAGAATCTGGCTAACTAACGATTATAATAATTAATTTTCTTTGAAACGCATTGAGCCTTAAGTCTTGGGCAGTCTACAACGCGTATTTATCAAATGCATTAAATGCTGCCTTGCGTTGAAGGAGGCTGAGACGCGAACCCGTTGGCATTACTCCCGTTGATGTAAAGTCGTGGGTGTGCCCCAAGTAAGTTGCCTGCATGTGAGTTGGCTTTGTGTATGGGTCCGTTTCCGTAGCGGTTTTCGATTCGGCCTTAGTCTAAGTTACAATTAAAGTCCTGTTCGCCCAGCTTGTATCTCCTTCTTACGCCATCTCGCTGCTTGTCTCAGCTGTGGTTAGCGGGCTCTGCAATTTCAAGCCAACAACAGCCAAACAAGCTTACAACCAACGAAACGCACAAAATCAAAACATGAACCACACGGCAAATGGCAGTGGAAAGGCGGTTGGCGAGGACAATAGCCTGGTTATGGTGGCAGATGCAGATGCTACTTGGCTGGACTTGAATGCTGGAGCTGGATAGTAATCGTATATGGGGGAGCTGGCAAGTGTTCGTAAGCTATTCTGCTTATCTTCTTAGGTTACGTAATCTCTGCTGAAACATCAACAGCGAGTTTTGAGTAGAAGCGAACAGTGAGCGAGAAAAGTAACATATAACAGTGCTCTAGTCGTTGTCGTCCGACCATAAGATAACCTGAGCCTAACGCCAAGCTGTCATTGCCAACATTACATTACCCGGTATTTAAACACGCTTCGCACCTTATTCCCATACATAGAAAATGTATTTTTGAATGTGTTGAAAAACACTTGCAATGTAATCGAATTCAGATCGACGCGTTTACATAGAATATATATGGTACTGCAGATGTACATATCTTGCAAAATAGAAGGAAGCCAATATCGATTGAAAGATGGCTGGTTATATCACCTACTTATGTCCCACCTTGCGTTTACCACTGCCTTCGGTACATAAATAAATACCACATACATTTTTCAAGCACTTCTGCATTACAAACTAACTGCTTGCCAATTTTCAGCCATCTGCACAGTAACGGCCTGAGCAATTATTAGCATTTATGAAAATCGCATAGAGAGGCCGTTTGAGAATTGTATCACATTTTGCAAATTCTGCTGAGTCACTTAACCATAACCAGCCACCTGCGCAATAACATGCATAGCCAAGGCCTTATAAAATTGCAGAGCCTGGGCAATTATTACCATTTATGAAAATCGAGTAGAAAGGCCTTTTGAGGCTTCTGTTACATTTTGCATTTTGCAATAGTCAGGTACCTGCACAGTGACACCCATGGCCAAAAAATACACAGATTCAGAGCCTGGTCATTTATTAAAATCGCATAGAGAGGACGTTTAAGGCTTGTTTTTTTTTTTACTAAATATCCGCCCATCAAATCCTGAGACAGAGTCAGAGCCTGGGATATTATTAGCATTTATGAAAATCAAGTAGAGAGGCCTTTTGAGGCTTGTATTACTTTTCGCAATTGCTGCTGAGCCACAAGCTAACTGCCTGCCAATAGCAAGCCACTTGCATAGTGCATCCATGGCCAAATAATAAACAAAGGCAGATACTGAGCAATTATTAGCATTTATGAAAATCACATAGAGGTGCGTCTTAAGGCTTGTAATACATTTTGCCAATTCTGCTGAGTCACTAAATTTTAGCCCACCAATAACCAGCCATATGCACGGTAACCAACATACCCAAGGCCTTAGACAGGGCAGGGGGTGACCAATTATTAGCATTTACCAGAATCGAGTAGAAAGGCATTTGAGGCATCTTTTACATTTTGCATGGCCTGTGGAGGCACCAGCTAACAGCCTGCCAATACCAAGCCGCCTGCACAATGACAACCAAAGCCAAATTGAATTTTATTAGTATTTATGAAAACCGCATTGACGGGCCTTTCGCGGCTTCTGATTAATTTTTTAAACCATGCTGAATCACCAAACAACTGCAAACTGAACGGTAACAGCCGATGCCAAGTCATAGACAAAGGCACTGCCTGAACGTTTAGCGTTGATGAAAAGTGCGTAAAGAGGCCTTTTAAAACTGAAGCAGTAACTAACTATCAGCTACCCAATAGCCATCCATCTGCACAGTCACATACAAAGACAACGCCTTAAGAACGGCAGAGTGTGAGTAATTGCAAGCGTTTATGAAAATCGCGTAGAGAGGCCAATTTTTGAGCTAATCAATGAAATATTTGCCGCCAGGTTGGTTTGACATTAAATGAGCCCTGCAGCTACGCCTCTGGCATCTGTCTCTGGCTTTTGCCCAGTAAGGTCTCCAACGCATGCACCCTACTGCCTGCTGGCTTCGTTAGTGCAGATTGTTAGCTGAACAATTGCCGGCTACTAAGGCAATGGGTAAGTGCTAAGAAATAGGGGGGCTATGTTTATGGCACTCGCTGTGGTTTGGGTACTACTACAACAAGCGCCACTGCAACTGGGTCTATGGCCCCGCCAACTGGCATGGGGCTGACACTAAAGCTTACGTTGTTGCTGCTGCTGCTGATGCTGTGGCTGCGGCTGCTGCGGCTGCTGCTACTGGCGTCGCCGAGCTCACTTCAGAACTATTTCAATAAGCGTTACGTTAGGAACGCGCATTGTCCTTCACCCTGTTTTCTCGACTGTCGACTGCCGACCGGGTACGTTGTCGAATGTCGTTGCGTTACGCTTTTGTCATCTGCCGTTGTCATCATCGCAGTCGCTGTCGCTGTCGCCGTCGCCGTCGTCGTCGTCGTAGTCTGCGTTGCCTACAAGCAATTTACAGCGTTTTTTACATTTTGCATTTTGCGATTCTCATTTTGATTTTGGTTCCTATCGTCGTCGTCGTCGTCGTCGCCGTCGTCTTCATCACTGGCGTCGCTGGCAGCATTGCTGCAGCTTCCGTTTCCGTTGTGTGCATTGCGCCGTGTAGCTTTGTTGATTGTCAGCGACCTGTATGCCTCCACTCAGTCTCTCTCAGTATCTCAGCCTCTCAGTCCCAGCTACTACTGCCCGTGACATGTCAGGCGGCGGCCATAGTTAGGGGCGCCAACTCAACCCACTTCAGTGTCGCGCCTGTTTCTCGAGTCCTAGTTCTTAAGTGCGACACCTTTCCGCAATCATCCCACGCTATCTACGACTGTTGCGACTTTAACTTTGAAATTGCAGCCGCTGGCAGACAACACCACTGGCTGTGGCATTTGAGGCGCAGGCCCAGTCCGCGTAATAGCAACAATGCCATCGATATGTCTAGGCAAGTCAAACAAAAACCAAGCATAGCCAAATTTTTTTTATTTCCTCCCCGCGCCAGACTCAGACGTGCTCGGTAACTAGGTCAGTGGCAATATTTTTACGAGGGTTTCCCAAAAAGTGCGTGCTCATATGTTGGGCCTTTTTTTCTTTCCCAAGTATCTTTTAAATGTTACACAACGTACTTAATTGAAGTCAGTGAACCTAAAATGATTTAATGAAAACCGCATAGAAAGGCCGAGTGAAATTGTGAGTAAACGATAAGGAAACCAGACACACATAAAGTTAAATATATATATGCTAGATAACTCACATAAGATATTCCATGCTTGGAACCTATTAACCCACCCTCGCATTGGAACTGTTG